CACAGGGCTGCTTTCACCTGCAGTGCCTGGCTCAGGGCAGCCCAGCCAGCTGGCACCAATGGAGAATCTCAAATGTTAGCCAAAGGACAGCAAAATTATTTATTTTAAACAAGAAAATAAAGCAGGACATTTAACTTGCTCATCATGGCAGCTGCAGCTGAGGGGGAGAACAGACAACAACCCAAATGTTTATTGTATGGGTTTTGTACCCAAAGGATAGTAAGGGGAAATCACTAAAGGATCATCTGCTCAGTGTCAGGGAAGGATTGATTTCCAGGGAGGCAGTGCAGTGCACCCCACAACCTGAGATTTACTCATTTCCCACTGGTTTCCAACCAGGAATCTCCACTGCCCTGTGCTCAGGCAGGAAGGCTGAAGGGTGAGGCAGATAACATCAGCTGCTGCAAATGGGCCTGGTGGTTTCTGACTTGGGTTTTATTAGGAATTTGAAGGTGACATCCCTTCCTGATGAGCACATCCCAGCCCATTAGTGTCAGGCAGAGTTATGCTCACGTGGCACGGGGAGCTGATCCTTCCGTGTGTCTGTCCAGGCCCTGACACACAGCCCAGGCCTGGCCCTGACTCACACAATGACAACTTAATGAGGGCTTACTCTGTGCTCCATGGCTCTATAAAAGTAATTTTTAAATAGCATAATGGAATAATATTTACTCAACAGCCTCTGCATTGTTTATTCCCCAGTGTCTATCTTACAGTCTTGTAAGATGGGAATAAATATTTACTCACTCTTCATTCATACAGTTTATTCTGTGTGGAACTGCAGCCAGCTCTATTCATCCTATTGCCCTTAGGCTGGATGCTATAAAGAGAAGAAATTAATTGTAGTTAAACTAAAAAGGACAAAAAAAGTTTGTGCTGGCTCCTGTCTGCATTTTACTGCTCATGCCCCATCCCCTTGGCCAGTGTGGGGAGAGTGTGTGCATGTAAAAATCACATTGCCTGCAGCTCATTGCTGTCCACTGACACAGCCTCTCTGGAAAAACTTTTGATGAATAGTCAGCATCTAATTCCTCACTAATAAAAAACCCTAAGTTGCTTGCAATCATTATTCCAAATGGAAAAATTAATTGTAAATAACTGGAAGTCAATTAAGGCTGGGTTCTGCCGGGTAATGCAAATCTTTTATAGTTTTGTTTCAGTTAACTGCCTCATTAATGATTTATAGATGTGTATACAGCTGTGGGAACCATAGCATTATCTAATGCACTCAGAGAATAATTACATATGAAAAGAACTACGTGGCTCAAGGGAAAAACTCAGAAATTACTTACTGCCTTAACTTCAACCATATTAAGATGCAAAGCATTTAGAAACCAACTGTGATGTTTTATCATATTCTCGAGGTTTCATGTTCTTTTTAAAAAGGGAAAAATAATTCTTTCTAAAAAAATATTTGTACATTTCAGTATTACACAGTACACAAAAATCAAGATGCCTCAGCTGAGAATGTCAGCATTTATTTATTATTTAAAAGCCTAAGTTATAAAACACTCCCATTCCCTTTGTGCATCTGCTATACAGGAATAAAAGACATTTCTCCAGTTAAACAATTCATGGGCATATGCATCTATCTCCCTGAATTACACAGAGCCAGAAGTAATTTTGGGAAGACTTCCTTCAGGAGTCATTCTCCTGAATATACAAATACACTGGTACTTTTTCTTTGATGATGCTAATTTTGGAAGTTTGAGGAGTTTTTTGTAGAATGCTGTTTTCCCTCCTGAATAGGGCAGTGAAGCTGAAGTTTGCACCATTAGGTACTCATTTCTTATAGATTTTAATCCAGTGATAAACCGCTGCAGGATATTTTGAAGCACCATAGAAGATATTTTGCTTTTAAGCCTGCATTTCTTCATTCTGAGGGCAGAGAAGGGGTCAGGGTGTTTCTCCCCAGCCCAGACATTTGACCTGCAGGGCCTGCCCTGACATTTTCCGTGCAGTTTTCTCCAGGGCTGAGCAGGTCCCCAGGGCTCCTGGCACATTTTCTGTGTCAGGGCAGAAAACCCAAATGTGCTCTGTGCCCCAGCTCTGCCTTCATCCTCAGGCTGGACAGAGCCACCATGGCCTGGTTCTGTCCCCAGCGTGGCTCCAGGAATATTGGGGTGTTCCTGGGGTGTTCCTGGCCAGCTGCTGCTGGTTTGAGCTGTCCACAGAGTGTCCCTGGAGCATCCTCAGAGCCCCTCGTTCCCCATCCCTGGCACACCTCCCAGAACCTCCAGAACCTCCCAGAACATTCTTCCTCTCTTCCTCAGGCCTCTGCCCCCAGCTCTGCCCTCCAGCCCTGTGGTGTTCTTTGTTTGCCCACTCAGGTGTGATGGATCTGTCTCTGCTCCTTCCCACCTGTCCTGTGATTTAGGGCCTTTTTTTGGCCACACATTTGGCAATATTAAAACCCTGGCCCAGTCGTGTCTATTGGAACTATACAAGGCCAGAGGGAGGCAAATAAAATTTTTTATTTTGTCTGCAGATGTTCAGCCTCTGACATAAAACCTGTAACTGTCCTCTCATTTCCCAAATCACGTCAGCACCTTCCACCAGGCAGGAAAGACAAACAACCAGCCTGATGTCCTCTTGTGGGGAGGAGCAGTGGGGAAAGGACACCAGGCACTCATTCCAGGCTTTCCCAGTGCCCCCAAACCCCAAACACTGTCTGTGGGATGGAATGGAGCACAGGATGCTCCGTGTCCTGCTGGCTGTGCTGGAGAGCTGCTCCCAGGCAGAGGGATGCTCAGGTGAACATTCACAAGTGTTTTCTGGGCAGAAAATCCATGCTAGGTTCTGCTTCTTCATGCCTGTTAAAAACAGGTTTAGGTGTTTGTAATTCCTCTTGGCACTGAAGGAAATTGGTGACTCTAGAGTGTATTGAGTGATGGGATATTTCACGGTGATGAGGTCTCAGGAAGTTCCCACCTCCAAGACTTCTGTGACCATGTGTGAAATGGAAGTGAAGGCAAAAGCATGGGAATAAAGTTTTTGGAGGGTTTATTGCCAGATAATAAACAAATAGACAATTGAAATTGTCATAAAATATCTGTAACTCTACAAACTCTACTCAGTGGTGTAATGAAACATTATGTTAATCTACAAGGACAAATTAAGGGCTGCAAATCAAGTATCAGTTAACATTAGAGAAATGTACTTTTAATTCTAAGCTTTTGAGGCTGTACAGCATAATGTGCATAAGGAACAGCTAAATTAATCAAGATTAAGCTGTCTAGGGTGATTAAACACACAGATACAACCTTTGGCTTGTGACATCCTCATAGGTGTCCTTATGGAGTTGTAGGCACAGAGTTACATGGCTTTAATGGCACTGAATGGGCCTTGGAATATTCTTGTGGAGGGTCTGGGCTTGACACCTTTTTGTTCAACACAGTCTGGCCATTCTTGCCTTCTGCTGTCCCTGTTTTTATGTTTTATTTCAGTGCAACCGCCACAGGTCAGTCCATTAAGTCTTCCTGAACAGTAGCCAGTAGTTCTTATGGCCATTTCTTACTTGCTTTTGGAAAATAAAATTTAAAAAAATAGTTAAGATATTTGGCAAACCATCTTCTAATTATCAAAAATGTTTAGTAATTTCTCTTGTTTGACAGTAGTTTGTCACACTGTGAGCTGAAAAGATTTTAAGGCATTCTCAGTCCTGGTTTTAATGTTCTTTATAATCAAAAGGGTAAAATGAAGGCACATCACCACGATGGGTATGGTGGGAGGCAGGCAGAAAAGTCCTGCCAGCTCTCACCATGCCTCTGTCAGAGCTCAGTGTGCCATACAGATTCTCCCTCAGAGACAAAAACAATAATTTGCATCTCAGATCTTCTGCCCCTGAGAGAAAAGTGGGATCACGAATTTAGAAACTGGAAGTAACAATTTATTGTGAATTCCTTTGCCATCTGAAATGCAGCTTGGGGATGGGATTGCTGCACTCAGGGACTCTGCCATCCTTTCCTTCCTCAGTGCCACACTCAGGCTGGAGATCTGCCCTCAGAATGAACCAAACTGTGACCGTGTTCACAGGGGTTCTTGGATCAGGGAAGAGATGAGGATCTGACTCCATGTTTCAGAAGGCTTCATTTATTATTTTATGATATATATTACATTAAAGCTATACTAAAATAATAGAAGAAAAGGTTTCATCAGAAGGCTGGCTAAGAATAGAATAGAAAGGAAAGAATAACAAAGGTTTGTGGCTTGGATAGAGTCTCTGAGCCAGCTGACTGTGATTGGCCATTAATTAGAAACAACCACATGAGACCAATCCCAGATGCACCTGTTGCATTCCACAGCAGCAGATAATCATTGTTTGCATTTTGTTCCTGAGGCCTCTCAGCGTCTCAGGAGGAAAAATCCTAAGGAAAGGATTTTTCATGAGAAGATGTCTGCGACACCAAACCAAAACCATTGTGGTGGGACAGGGGACAGGAGAGGGATGGGAGGCACAGGAGACCTCTGGGCACTCCCCATCCACCAGGGGCCAGAGGAGATCCCAAGTTCTCAAGGTAACACACTCATTCCTTCAGCAGGCACAGCCCAGTTCCTCTTCTGTTCCCCCCAGATAAATTCTCATAACCAAAAACCCATGGCCAAGGAAGCATTTATTTCATTTCCATAAGACATTCTCCATCTGAAATATTTGCAAATCTGACCCAAAAGTCACTCACAGCAGGTTGAAATCTGATGTTACAAAGATTCAATCTGGGAAAAAAAGATAAACCCACCCTGAAATAAATTCTGATCTATTATATTTATTAAGAGTCCGGTGATGCCTTTCCATTTTGTGCAGTTCTTGTGGAAGGCGAGGGAAATGATGCATATTTATCAGCGTGGTGTTGTTCTTTATTCTGCCTGCACGCCTTTAGCAGTGATTTCAGAAGATAAATGCTGAGCTGCCCAGCTGATAACTGAGGAGCTCCAGGAGCCCTGGAGGAGAGCAGCCCCAGTGATCATTTCTCCTCCTGGATCAGGATTTTGAAGTGTTCCAGTTGGATCAGTGTTTGAGGAACAATTGTTCCCCTTTTTTCCTCATGGTTTGTGCTGTCCTTGCCCTGGGGGGGCAGAGTTTGTAGGAAATGTGAGCCCTGAGCCCTCCTGTGGGGTTTGCAAACATCCAGGCACAGGTTGGAGACCCAGAGAATCCTAAAAAACTCTGCTTTAAAAATACATTTACCCACTCCTAACTGAAGAAAAAAATTCAAAATGATGATGTGGAAACTCTTTTCCAAAATACATATTTTCTATTTTGTACACGGGAATTAAGACTGAGTCTTAATTAAAATTAGCAGTGAATAATACATATTCACTTGGATAGTTTATTATTTCCTCACTGGATGTGTTTTTCTCACATCATTATGCATTCATGCACATTTTGTGGACTGTAAATGTGATTAGCCCATCAAGTTATATTTAGGGCGTTTTTAAATTGGCCACTTGTACCTGTGTGCCACACATCTCATCACTGCCCCTGGAATCTCATAAAATCAGAGAAATACTGACAACTTCATCAGCACTGTGACCCCATTTGAAGAGCACCTAAAAATGCACTTACTTTTATTATTTAGCTATATACAATTGAACTTTACATGTGATAGCTAATTTTAAAAACAATATATGCAATTTCATGTTCCTGTGGGTGGTGAAATAAGTGTTATTTTGTCCTTACAGCTGTTGCTTTCTCTCAACATAATGATGCACAAATCAGTAGCAGAAAGACAACATTTCATAGTCCTTACTTATGCTATAAAGGTGATGCATATAAACTTTATAGTTGGTACTGGTGTAAAAAGTGCTGGTATAGTGTGAGTGCATCAAACTATAAAGTCATAGCAGAAAGTACCAGGATGAAATAATTTTGGACAGCTGGGGAGACTTTGATGCTATAAATTGTAAAACAATTAGTGATGCCAAGTTTTCATATGGACTCTAATAGGGTCTGAAATGTCACAATTAACAAATTTCCATAGCAAAGAAGGGAAGTTTTGGAAGTTTGAGCCCTGATTTTGTCTGGTTTAAGGAAAGGGTGCACAGCCCAGATCTGAGCCCTGCCTTCATCCCCCAGACCTCACCCATTCTGTGGGACAGGGCTGTGTGTGGATCCCCAAATAGGGAGAGTTTGGGGACACAGGGACAGGAAAGATCCTCCTGATCCTCCCCTACAGATGGGGAAAGGGATATCAAATGGAGATTACAGTGATATTGTTGAGTACAATAAATGAATCTGTAGAGAACTGGCATTTCACCAGCTCCAAATGCAGCCTCAGCCCTGTGCCCAGCGCCCTCCCAGCTCTGCAATGCCATCAGATCACTGATAACCCTGGGCATGGGCAGGAACCATCAAATCCCACAGCATCCTCAGCCTTGCTGATTCTGGAGGGTGGGGGAACCCTCTGGATGAAATCTCCCAGTTACTCATGGCCAGTAAAAGCTGATGTCCCTGCTCTGGCCAGGAAAATGATGGATGCAGTGTGAATTCCACAGAAGGGTCTCTCATTCTTTGCCCTTCGTTTTGTGCAGAAGTGGAGAGAGTCCCCAAAATCCTCAGCAGGTGCAAAGAGAGGAGGGCAACAGTCAGTGGCAGCCAGGAATGGCAGGAGTGCAGATCCAGGGTGATTTCGGGGTTTCACTGGTAATGTTCTCTGAATTTGGGTGAATTTTGGTGTCCAGAGTTTATGGAAGGGAAAGGTGAGGCTTGTTGGGGTTCTGCTGAGGTAAAACATTCCAAGCACAGCTGTGTCTCCATCCAGGCATTCCAGGGAGAATCCTCATCCTGCTCAATCCAGGAGCTTCCGAGGGCACAGAGACTGGCTGGGGAAAAAATGGATAAAGATATTTTTTAAAAAATCCCCCTGAGACCATCTCCCATATTTAATAAGGAAAAGCACCTTCTGTGCAGCCAATAAAAGTTGAGTCTCTCATGAAGATTTATACCATATTACACACTGAAATTCAATGTACAATGATACCCTTGTGTATACAGTTGTCAGAATAATAATCTTTGTCTGTCTGATCAACTTATATTTTATGCCAACAACACAGCATTTAATATTATACAGTTTCAGAGGAAGAAAATAAATTTATTCATGTAACAACTTGCCCAGTAACTTAAACAGACAAAGTGAAAAAAATAGCTTGGAGTTTTTACATTAACTTGTGATCCACAATACAGATTTCTATACAATTTCATCAATTTTATGCAGCAAGAAAAACTATGATTCTTAATCTAGTTTCTGAAATTGTCTCACTATTTTACACTGCCTTGAGGAGTGATGCAGTTGGATCTGAGTGCTGCAGTTTGCTTTTGGCATCCTCCTGAAACGAGGGGCCTAAAAATGGTAATCAACAGCTCCTCTCTATATCCTGCATTGTCACATTCTGTGCTGTATTCTTAGGCTTTGTGCCTCAAAATATACATCCAGGAACACTTATAGAGGAGTTCTAGATGGACTCCCCCACAAGCAGAGCACTCCTCGGGAGAAATCAGCGGAGGCTTCCCACGGCTGGGGCTGCTTCCAAATGATGCAAAGCCCTGCCAGATAGGAAAACTTGAGCAATATAGAAAATCTCTGCTGTATGTAGATCCATTAAATCTATTCTCCTAGCAGCCTGTGCAGAAAACTGACAGACTTTGAATGATTTATTGGTATCTTTTTAAAGGCATCTCCTTTTTACCTTACATTAATTTTTCTTTATATAACAACATCTGACAAAAAAAGGGAACCTGGTGACACCCCAACCCTTCCCCAAAAAAAGCTGATGAAAAGATTGGATAGAGGATTGGGAAGAGAAATCAAAGAGGGTGGTTAGAAATGTGTCTGTGCCCCAAGATGCACCCTAAGAACAAAATCTGCACGCTCAGAAAAGGAAGGGGCGCCACAGCCTTGGGGCAGAGCAGTTAAACCTCATGTAGAGTTAATATTTAGTTAATATAAAGTTATTATTGGTGAGGCTCTGGCACAGCTGTGGCTGCCCCTGGATCCCTGGCAGTGCCCAGGGCCAGGCTGGACATTGGGATTTGGAGCAGCCTGGGATGGTGGAGGTGTCCCTGCCATGGCAGGGAGGGATGGGATGAGATTTCAACTCCTTCCAACCCAAACCATCCTGGGGTCCTGTGAAAAGTAAAATTCTTCTGAGACTGTAAAAAAATGGGCAGGGTTCTCCACTTTTATCAAAAGCTCCAAATGCCCTGGCTGGGCTGTGATGCATTCAGGGAAGCACTGCCTGATAATCCATCGGTGACTATCATTGAAACTTTTCCAAAGTTGTGTATTGTTGCACCAAGGCACAATTGAATTGCTGCTTCCTCATAACAGGATGTGCTCTGAGGGCCTGAGGAACGTGCCTGATTCCAAAATACACAAAATCCACAAAATCCACACACACACACACGTGCACATCCCCACACACACACCTCCTGCGTGGGAAGGAGCCACCAGGAACCAGGACGTGCTGGCCCAGGGTTGGACATTTCTTTTGCAATCAAAGACAGGAAACAGCCATCCACTGTCATCTTAATCATCAGAACATTTTGATTTAGGCAGCTGTGGACCAGTATATCTGTGAGAACTTTAATGCCAAGTTCATTTATGTGGAATAAAACACACACGTGTAAGAACAGAATTAGGTAGACATGGCAGAAATGCACATGAGAAAAATACACCTTCACTACAGGAAAAAAAGCTGAAGGAGAACACAGATTAAATCCAGCTTTGAGATTTATAGGAATTTGTTTGCATGGAGCACATTTGGAGCACTTTGATCAGATTAACTCCTCTGTATAAAAGCAAACCAACACTTCCAACCTACATCATATCGCCCCAGGAGAAAAACAAAAAAAAAGTCAGTTACAAATGAGCTGTCCCCCAAAATAACTCAGGCCTTCGTGGACTGATGGTCTGAAACTGCTCCAGAGAGGTGAGAAAAGGCAAAGGAAAATCAAAGCATCAGAAAAGGGAATTGGCTAAAAGCAAAAGAGCTCTGGCACAAGGGCAGGGAGGTTCTGCTGAGTGACCCCAGCTGGGCAGGGCTGCAGGGCCTGGAGGCTCAGACTTTGGGAATTTATTCAGTGATTCGTGGCACTGTCTGAGAGCTAGAAACCTAGAGCCCAAAAACAGAAATTATCTATTTTTATTGGCAAAAGGAATCACCAGAAATCTCCCAAATCAGATGCACGTGGTAAAATCAAACCACTTTGAACCTGGAGAGGTTTTATTTGTAACTCAGTCAAATGCACTTTGAAAACTGCTCAGAGGTAAATTAACACCAGATTAATTGCTGTTAAAATAGGATTATCACTCATAGTATTGTACAGACAAGATTTGAAGTAAAAATTAGGAGTAATTAATTATAATTCTAATAAAAATAATAGATTCTTAACTGAAATACAATTTTCATCACTCAAAAGCTATCATTACCAGAATATGCTTTTGTTTGGAAGTAGCTCAGTTAAACTAACTTCAGAAAAAACCAGATTTTTCTTTCTTTGTTTCAAAAGTATTCTACATGTTTCAAAAGTATTCTAATGATCCCTTTAGAAGGTTTCATCCCCTCCAATTACCTTCCAAATCCATCCTGAGCAGGGATACTGTGACAGAAATATCTCTGTGCTGCAGATGCACTGCCTGGGAGTGTTTGTGCTCGTTTGACCAGGCACATTAAATTGAGCTGCACAGATTTGTGTCATGTATTCCCCTCAGATGGCTCCAGAATGCTGCAGCCACAGGAACAGATCTCCTGCCACTCCTGGGTCCTGCTCCTGTGCAAGTGGAATATTTCATATTTATTAAAATAGCCAGAGCTTGCTGTACACAGGGATGAGACTCAACAAACAAAAGTTGCTCTTTGTTTGTATGTGGACATTTTGCAGTCACATTATTTATCTTCATTAGCCTTAACATTTTTTGTCATACACCTGAGGATGGTGGATTTCAAACCAGTCAAATTTTGTAGCTGATGGGAAAGAAAATTTCCTTCTTTTCTCAATACAGATGCATCTTAGGTTAAGCTGTGTAAACAAAGTTTTCCTGAGAGATTCCTTTACCCACTGGGAAAATTCTGGAAGGTACCACATTAAATATTCCAGCAGCTCAGACCTCATAGAGAGCCTTATTTTCTAATGTAATGAATTTCACCTGATTTTCATTTTCATTTACCAATTTGCTTATCCCAGCAGTGGAGAATGAAAAGCTAGTTATACAAAATATATAGATTTTATATTTAATGCAAAATGAAGTCGGTAAAAAACAGCTCCATAAAATATTTTTGCAGGGCTTTTTTGCTTTGAAAGAAAACAGGTATCACTGCTCCCTATCAATCTTTTTTGATGCATTCTGTTCAGGGTGGCCAGCAAACTGATAAGATCGTTCCTTCAGATTTCAAAATTACTGAATCTGGAAATAGTTCTCATTTATCTCATGCACTGCTGAGAAAACAATCTCAAACGGTTGGTTCTACTGATGAAACTTCCTTAGCAACACAAGGGCTCCAGAATTATTTTTCAGGCCTTGTCAATGCTTCCTGTGAGGTTTCCGTCACTGTCAGCATCCAACACCTCGCAGATGAGCAGGGAAAAAAAGCCCAGCCAGCCCAGAAAGCTGTGATGAATTAATGGAAGGTAAATTAATAGATTAAATGGAATTAGTAGGAGGGATGATAAATCTAAAATTCCCTAACAATAGTCCAGTGAATTGTGGTTTAGATTTATGTGGTGTTTTATCATGTAGATGAGAATCCATAGAGAAGGGGCTGTGTCCCAGGGGGGTTAGAGAAAATCAGGAAGGCTGAACACTTGGTCCTGGGCATTTCTTTGGGACTGCACCCCAGGAACCAAGGCAGGAGAGCCCTCAGTGCCTTGGCTTCCACAGGACACCCCAGCAGGAATCCTGCTTTCCTGAATCCTGCTCTCTCTGCCTTGCTGCCACTTCACATAGCACTTTTCAGCCATAATCTCTCATGGTAAATTGTATTTAGGCCCCAGTGTAAACCTTCAGCACCTTCAGTTTATACTGACTAAGTCTCCAGTGTGCAGCCAGTCCCTTAAACCAGATTTCAACAGTTGTAAAGTGTCAGCAGTGCAGGATTTGGCTTTTAATGTAATTGGAACAAACTAAAATGCCTTTATTTCAGGTATCGCCGCTCTCAGGTTGGAGGGGGCTTTCTGCTGTGAAGATTTTTCCCTTCCCTGACACAAACGTTCACCCCAGTTCTCAAACCCACCCGTGCTCATCTGACACTTCACAAGTTGCCAAATGTCTGCTCCAACACTGAAAAACCCGGTTTCTGCTGAGTTCTAAGCTAAGTGTTAGAGAGAAGGCTGGAAATCAGCGAGAATGTGTCTATGCAGGGCTGAGCATTAACCCCTTACTGACTGCTCTGGGTGCTGCCTGCCCTGTGCTCAGTCCCTGCTGCCAGGGATCAGCCTCCCCTTCCTGCCTGCTCATGCCCTGACTTCCATTTTGGCTTTTTTTCCTTCAAATTCCTCATCATTACTTTAAAGCTGCTCTGATCCATCCCCTGCTCTCCAGAGTGAAGTGGTCAGGAAGGGAAAGAAATCCCTGCTGAGGCAGCACAAGACAAACCATAACATTCTTAAACTATCTGTTCACCTTAAAGCTTCAGCTCACTCCTTGCAACACTTCAGTCTAAGAAAAGCTCCTTAAAATTTTAAGAATAGGTTAAGAACTCTTAAGAATAACTCAAGAACAGCTTCTTAACCTCCTTCTAAATGAGCTGTGTTCCCCTCTTGATCCATTCTGCAGTGATTTCAGACAGACAATTTAAAGCCAAGGAGATTAAATCAGACAGAACAGAATGGTAGATAAGATTTCAAATGTTCAACACTGAAATATCTACTGCTCAAGAGCAGAGTGGAGATATAAGCTGGTAACAAATGATACAAAATGAAGTTAAATGGCATCAGCATTGTTAGGATCAAGAGCTTTCTCCTAAAAGTAATAAAAAACTACACGGTCTACTCAGTGAAGAAAATGGAAAGATCAGGTAGTTTATGTATTTATACAGGTTGATGTGTAAGAGAAAATTCACTTTTCCCTCCTGCCCCATCCCATCCAAGGGTGATCTGAGACAGCTCTGAGCAAACAGCCTGCACTGCCTTCACCTTCAGCTGCAGGATTAGGAATTCCAGGTGAATGAATCAGTGTGACAGGAGAAACCCCTGTCACTGCTTGGATGGGCTCCAGCACTGTGACACAGGGACCCTGTGCTCAGCACGGGGAGCACCAGCAGGTGGGAGATGCTGGAATGCAAGTCCTCAGCAAAACGGGCTCAGGAGTACCCTCAACCTGTCCTCCCCTTTCTAATCTGCATTTAAATGTCTGATTCAGAGAGTCAGTCTGATTCACCATGGCAGCAGTGTTGGTCAAGGCAGTAGATGGTCATCTCTGCTCCTCTGGCAGTTCATGTCTTCTGAACCACAGAAAATTGGCTGTAGTGAGGCAGGAACAGGGGAATAAATGGAATAAATGCCCACAGGCTGCACCAGGCTGTCCCACATTTACATTCCTGTTGTATCACAGACACACCTGGAGAACAGAAATATTCACTGGGAAAGATCCCAGTGCACTGATCCCGGGCTCAGTCAGAAACAAACCCTCAAAGTTCAGCTGCCCAAACCCTTCTGGATAAAGGGCACAAGAAGAAACGATGCAGGCACAGAAATGGGGAGATTGGGAACGGGGCTGGGGCTGAGCCTCATCCCTGGTGGGCTGCACCTGTGCAGGACAGGTGAGCAGCATTGCAGGCAGCGAGACACGGAGTGCTGAGTGCTGAGCACCCCCAGAGGGCACGGGGCACTCAGGTGCAGGGCAAGCAGGATCAAGGGTGTAAAAGAGGAGAACATGCAGTAATAAAGAGGAGAGAGGAGCCTTTAGTACATTTGGTTGTGGGGTTTTGTTTAAATTTTTTTGTCTCTCTTGGCTGTAACAAGATGCCACCCTGGAGGTTGTTGTTCATGCACCTGAGGATGCTGTGATAAAATCACCTGTTTAAGGTAGGAGAATCTGCTCAGAGCAAAATGGGCCTCAGAAGGCAGAATTCTGTTTTGCAAGCGGCTCTCAAAATGGTTTTCAACTGGCAAGTTGTCTCTCAAAGGCTGTAGGGGTAGAGAAGTTGGAGATGAAATTAAGAACATGTTTACTAGATAATAAGTAATGTGATCTGTATAATAGTTTTAGTGGTAGCAGTGAATTGAGTTTGAGTCCATTTTAATTTTTACTAGTTAATAAGTAATGTGATTTGTACAATAGTTTTAGTGGTAGCAGTGAATTGAGTTTGAGTCCACTTTATTTATGTAATAATGAATGTAGCCAATTTTTTATACTTTGAATATAGCATAATCTGTAATGTCTATCACCCTACTAGTATTCTTAGGTTGTACAAGTTTTTTAAATACTCTTCTGAGACCCTCCCCTGCTCCAGGGTGAATGGCAGGCAAAAATATCTCATGAATATATATATAATCACATTATTATGTAGCGTATCAGCTGTCCCCATAAATGTCATCTAACCATATTATACAGAATATCCTGGAAAATCCTTTAAAAACTGTGTTACAGAATTGAGAGGTATTGAACACATCCAGAAAGACAAAATTGTTGTAAATAGGGTCAGACTTCCACAGTTAAAACCTCTTGGGATAAAAGGAATATTGAAGAAAACAGGAATAGTGAGAGAAAGCAAGACAGTTTAACAACCTTCCTTCCTCCTCCTAAATGCTCAGTAAATGCTATTTATTTATTTGAATAGTTATGAACTGTGGAACTACTGCTGCCAAAGAGACAGAGCTTCTTCCCCATACATAATTTTAAACAATGAAACATGGGAAACAATGCATGACAGGTAAAATTTAATATTAAAAATGAAGTGTGGACTCCTGGTTGTTATACTAGTCAAGTATTTATTTAAACTTAAGACAATTAAAATTATTGTCCTATATAAAATAAGGATTTTAAGTGACAGAGGAACTAACATTGAGCGGGCTAGTTTGTTAGCTGACAACCAGAAAAATGAAATGCAAGAAAGTTCAGTGTGCAAAGGGATTTCTCAGCAGAGAGAAGAAACACAGTATCACAGATTTCAACTTTAAAATGTTTTGTGTATTTCTGCATTACATAAATACAATCCCATACTCTACCATTCTGTACAATAAATACATTGCAAATAAATGTTTTATGGTGTTCCCTCCCTCATTTATACCTTTAAAAATGTGCAGCTATGATTTATGCTTTTGAGGATGGCGTAATAGAATTTGACATTTTCCAGCTGAGGTGTGGCCTAGTTCCAGCTCCATGCTTCATTACATTGTACTCCCTTTGAGAGGATGAGGAGAGTAAAAATAGCCAGGTTGTTAAAAATGTAAAAAGCATAAATGAATTCTCACCAGATGTGCTGTTCAATTGTCATTTTCATAAAATTATGGTTGTTAAACTTTTGCTTGCCATGACATGCTAGAAATCAATATGTGCTATGAACAACGTGTCTGGAGAGATCATTCCCTCCTCATTAGCATCTCTCTTCTTTGGATTCTCCCACAATTTAAATAAGAGGTGATGCCAGTGTCCAGCCTCTGCTCTGATGGACCACCAGAGCATCCCTGCAGGCACAAACTGCATAGAAAGGTCACAAACATTGCAATGCTCAAGTTAGAAATGTGAATAGTTTAAAAGCTTTTAAAGCACTGTCTTTTTGGCAAGGAACAAATGAGAGTGTAAGTAACACATAAAATGTGTTTTCCTTGTCCTGCTGGATAGATTCAGGATGTTTTTATCTTAACATCAAAGCAGTTGGGTTTGGCATCAGGTAACAGAGATGCCTCACAATTCACTGAAATCTGCTTTGCTGAAAGCTGGAACTAATATTCAAGTATGGAGCCTATTTTAAGCCTGTTCTCTCACAGTAAGATGAATTTAAAATAATTGTTTGAAGGAAGAAATGGGAATTATGCTGCTTTTACACTGTGTGGGCTCCTGCACACAGATGACTTGCTTGCTGAATGTCAGGAAGTTTGGGATGGAGATTTCTGCTGTCTGAAGAAAAAGTGCTGTTCTTTGGTCAAAAAAGTTGTTACAAACAAGATAGCCAAGAAGAAAGATTTGTCAGCTTCCCTCTGAATGGCAAAAGGTTGAGCAGATTACTCAATATTTGTCAGGTTTGAGGTGATTGCCTGTCACTACACAAGAAGTGAATAATATTGACAGCTTTATAAGATCAAAATTCAAAGCCTGCAAGGATATGTGCCTGCATTACACAGAACTTGGCAAAGACCTTCTGTGTCAGGAGCCTCGGCTGTGGGGAGCAGGAGGGGTGCAGGCACCAGCAGGGGAGAGTCACAGGAGGGTCCCTGGGCTGGGGTCACATTCCAGTTTTCAGTCACATTCCAGGTCTCAGCCACATTACCCAGTCCTGTCTGAACACCTGAAGGTGCTCAGCAGCTCCAGCAAAATTCTCTGAGCACTGAACTGACACCAAAGCTTGTTCTGGGACATGTAACATGAAGCTCTACACCTGTTGCCATAAACAGCTTAAAAAATAAATTCTAGGATATTTTATTATTATTCTTTTTTCCCGCACATCCTCATTCACACTCAGGAAATCCTTGGAAAGCTGACAGTTATGAACAATCCCAGGTGTAATCCTGCTCTTAGATGCTCCGGGGAGAGTGGATGCAGCTTTAGGGGAAAAGCCTAGGTCTCCTTTGGGATCAGTGATCCTGTTCCTAAAAATTGGGTTTCTGAATGGAGAGGGCACCTGAGCTGCTGCAAATGCAAAAGGGTGAAAACAGAGTAACAGGGAGGGTCAGCAAACCCTCAATGGGAATCTGGGAATAAGTGGGCCTGAATGGGAAGGGAACCAGGATTAAATACAGAAAGATCAACTGTGAATGGGAAGGGGAAGCAGAAATTGAAGGGGTAAACTGAGCTGCAGTTTGAGAAAGATAATGGGGTAGAGACTGATTAAAATAAAAGAGGTCTGGTATCAGGTGAGGGCTTGGAAATACTCATCTGGATGGAAACCAGGTCAGATAAGAGCACAGTTAGAGAATGGTTTATAGACTGGGACAGGAGGCAGGTCTGGGGAGAATAAAAAAGAAAAAAGGGAGTAAAACATATTTAAATATACTCAGCAAAGGAATACAGCCACTCATCTGATATTTGTCTTCATTCCTTAACTTCTCCTTAGAGATTTGGCAGTATCAGAAATACAGATTTTTTTATTTCTCGTTTCATTTGGCTTCACCATGAATCTCGTCCGAGTATAGATGTCAATGGAAAAATTCAGATCTTTTTGCTAAAGTCACGATTGTTGAAAAACTAATGGAGTTAAGAATTGCAGAACAATATCTCACATCTGGAAAATGCTCTGAGAGATTGAATAATTCATTAGAAGGTTAGAAAAAAAAACTTTAAAATGATCCAAAACAACTGCAATCTCAAAAGCAGTTTTCCTTTTGCCAACTCCATTCCGGACTCTGGTTGGAATCCAGTCCAGGTTTTCCCTTTTGCCGACCCAATCCTGGACTCCTGAAGAAATCCAGTCCAGGTTTTCCCTTTGCCGACTCAATCCCAGACTCTGGGAGAAATCCGGTCTGGGTTTTCCCTTTTGCCAATTCCATGTCAGACTCTGGCCGGAATCTGGTCCGGGTCCGAGTTTTTCTTTCCCTCGACTCCATTCCTGACTCTGGCAAGAGTCTGGTCTGGGTTTTCATTTTTGCTGACTCCATTCCGGACTCTGGGGAAAAATCCAGTCCAGGTTTTCTGTTTTACTAAATCCATTCTAGACTCTGGCTGGAATCCAGTCCAGGTTTTCTGGTTTGCCAGCTCCATTCCGGACTCCAGGGAAGTCTGGTCCAGGTTTCTTCATTTGCCAACTCCATTCTGGACTCCAGGGGAAATCCGGTCCCAGTTTTCCCTTTTGCTGACTCCATTCCGGCCTCTGGCTGGAATCCGGTCTGGGTTTTCATTTTTGCCAACTCCATTCCGGACTCTGACTGGAATCCGGTCTAGGTTTTCCCTTTTGCTGACTCCACTCCAGACTCCGGCTGGAATCCTGCCCGGGTTTTCCATTTTTCCGACTCCATTCCGGAACCTTGGAGAAATCTAGTCCAAATTTTCACTTTTGCCGACTCCATTCCGGACTCCAGCAGGAATCCGGTCCGTGTTTTCCCAGCTCCCTGTGTTAGCAGCCCGGCGCTTTCCCTGCGGAGACAAAGCCAAACACAAACCAAAATACATCCCACAAATCTTGCTTTGGAAAATCATCCTAAAGAAAAAATCATACTCTTAAGTGGGAATTAAAAATTTCCTGGGAATGGCAAGGACCTCAGTAAAGATATTGTAATGTGGCGTTTGATGTTCTAGAGGGATTTCAACAAGTTTTGCATGGTCAAATTCCATTAATAAGTTGGCTTCCTTCCAAGGCTGTGTGTGTCCCTCTCATCTGCCATGGTGCCCTCGCTGTAAGGGAACCTCACCTCACCTGCTCAGGCACATCTCAGCAATTTTAATTGCTTTTTCTGCTCGTTACCGTACCAAACAGGCTTAGGAAAATCGGAGTCCCCTATAATGTAGATGACGGGGTTATGAGCAGAACAGGGAGGATTTTGGGGTTGTTGTAAGAGGATTACAGAGCGTGGTGGGGGGAGTGGATGGATATTGATGGTGCTGAGAGGGCAGCAGGAGACAATCAATGGGCCTGGGTTTGCAGGAGCTGCTCAGGGAGAACCTCTGTGCCAGCGTTGTCACTGCAGGGCTCTGTAATGGATGGGTTTATTCTCCAGCTCTGCTAACATTTGAATTAGAAATACATATTTACTGCTGCTTCCATTTTGGAAAGGATGTGCAGGCTTAGATGAGAGCACGTTTGAGCCAGCCTGACTCACAGTTTTTAGCAGATGACCTTTAATTAGTGGGAAGATATTCTATCCATATCATATTCGTTCACTTGTCTTACTGGGCATTAGATGGCTGCTGTGAAGCATAAAGGATTTTTTTTTGTCCTAATCCCTGTGATGTGACATGATTAATGAGATGAAATTCCCATTTGGAGTTTCCTACCAATCAATAGGCAGATGGGCAGTAGTGGATGTCGAACAACAAGACAGCAGGAGTTGCTTAAGCTCTTGCTACTTTCATAGAGGAAAAATATTTGGAGACATAATTTAAAGGAACAGATATTATCCATTGTTCACATTTCTCTCCTTCTTCAGTACTTGTTTCTTTGTTTTTAATGGTCATAGGTAAAAATGCCATCTTATATAAATAGCATATTAAAGTTATTATTATTATTATAACATAGTATAGTATAATATCACCATATAAATAACATATTAAGCTAAAATAAGTTTGCTGGAAAATCCTCTGGGTGTCACTTATGCCAGGTGGGTCTAACACTGCATTAGCATTGTGAAAACATTTGCAAAATTGTGGGTTTGATTTTTCTCCACATCCATGTTGATGTAAATATACTTACACACCAGAGAAGCCAGCAGAATTACAAAACCTTAGATTGCAGCCTTTGTGAATATAAAATTAGGCCATTTTTAAAATGCTGAAATGAAAAATTAAATGCATTTTGCATATCCTACAAAATACATCCTTTTTCACCAACTTCAACATCCCACTCTCTGACCACATAGTCTTTTATACCAAGGAATCCATGTGTAAAATGATTTAAGTAAGAATCTTCTATAGGTTATTCTCAGCTGTGAAAATTTTGAAGTTTATAAAAGGTTAAAAAAAAAAGTAATTTTAAATATTTACCAAATAAAACTGCCCTTTCTTGAAAGTAGAGTTTATTTATAAGTATGGGTATACTTATATAATTAGAATAAATTATATTATACAATTATACCTTTCTATGTCCCAAGACTTAAAAAAAAATACCATAAGGTATACAAGGAAATTATAAACCTAAAGGTAAAATATGTCAGACTGGTGGATCTCTGCCAAGCAGATTAAATCTGAGGAAATAATGCAAATTTCCAAACAGAAGTAGCAACAGGTTTCAGGAGATTTCTTTCATAGCCCTCGTGTTGGTGCTCATTTTCTTCTGGGCAATAATTCCAATGTAATTCCTTTAACCAGAAGTATTCATATTTAGTTGTTTTGTATGTTTAAATGATTGATCTTGTATTTTCTTCTCATTACCTCGTTCTCCCTCCCTCTCACAGACAAAGATGCTCACAGAGTAAAATTCATAACACACTCTTCCTAATGAACAAACTCCCACCGAGCACCAAAGTGCTTAATGATGCTCAGCAGGCAGAGTTCTGCAGTTCCCCTATGTGAGCCAATGTATAATCACACCACAAGTTAAAACAAAGTTAAAACAATATTTAGGCTGCCAAGAGAAACACTGGAAATGTAAGACATGCTGCATTTAAATTTTTCCAAACTTTAATTCTGTTCCTCTGTGCGTTCATCCGCTGTAATTCTGTGGGGGGAGAAGCACACTGGATGAAGTATTTGTGATTATGAAATTAAAATCTCTTTGCAAGGCAGCCAAAGTAAATTTAGGCAAACTGTTTTTAATCAGCCTTCAGTAGCTTGCAAAATACCCTGTTTCAAACAATTTTATTTGTGTAGTACATACTGTATATATTGATCTTGTCTCCCTTTCCTTAGTAATGTCTACAGACCAAATTCTGCAATGAATCAGCTCTGCAATGAAGTTAAAAATTATTTAAAAAAAACCAACTATTTTGGCCATGGTTGTTTATTAGGGGGTTCTTAAATTAGAGCTGGCACTTAGAAACCCAGCTATCACGGCCCACTCAGGAGAGCTTTTAGGAATTCTGCTCAAGCATCCCATTTATTCTTGGGGTAATAAGGCAAGGAGATGCTTGGGCTGGGTGGTGGGAGGCCACTGCTTGCTCCCATCTGCTGGAAAGGCTCCAAAACCACCTGGATGGGGCAGCTGGGAATGTGGTCAACAGTCAGACTCCATCTTTGGGGTCCTGTCCAGTTTATACATTGATGTAATTCTGTGGTTTTGAGACACTGCAAGTGCCCCTCATGTCCTCAGACAATTCTGTCCTTCCCTGGCAGCTGGTGAACAGGGAAATGAGTGCGCTGCCCTGTTTTTTCCTCAGATATATATCCTTGTCTTCCCTCCCTGAGTGGGACCCTTGTTTGGTTTGGTTTGTTCTAGGAGAACAATCAAGAGTCCTACAGAAATTTGGCAAAAATCCCCTTTAATTCAGACCAATCCCTGTCCCTGCTATGGTGCAGTGGGTCCCTTGTTTAGTTTTGTTTGTTCTAGGAGAAAAATCAAGAGTCCTACAAAAATGTGGCAAAAATCTCATTTAACTCAGACCAATGCCTGTCCCTGCTATGGTGCCATGCCAGGGATTGTTGTCCTTATGGGGAAAACCAAGGGCACACCTGTACCTACAGTGATCTAAAGGAAAATCCATGGGATAATTCTATGCCTGCTGTGTTCAGAACATGGCATCTCCTCATCTGTTCAGGGCTGCTCTCCAAAGGCAGCTGTGGAACATCCCAGCCCAAACAGGTATGGACAGGGCCAGGAACAGCACAGTGCACGCAGCAGAGGAGCTGGTGCTTTGTCAGGGGTTCAGAGATGGTTGGATTAGATGGCAGACAAGCAGGGAATAAGGCACTGTAAGGGATTGTGTTGTGCAGAATTTATCACCCAGCCTTAGGGTCCCTTGAAATCTCTTAGCCAAGAGCAGAATTTGCAGTGGCTTCTTTGGAGTTTTGCTTCACACTTGGGATTTTCTTCATGAGAAGACAATAGTCATTAGTGTGTTAGTTTAGCAAAACAAGCACACTAAAACGATGTACTTACAAGTTTGATTTGTTTATGGTGAGGCTCACTCATAGGCATGCCTAATTGTTCTGGTTTTTTATTTCCCCCTCGGTTTCTGATGCAATGCATGGCTGCAAAGGGTTTTGCACATTTCTCTTCTCCAGATTCTTGACCATGGGTGACTGTGCAGCAAGTTCTGCTGAGAAAGTGCAAATTAAGTCTTGCCACTTTGTAACCAGGGATTCTCTTTCCTGCTCTAAAAATGACTTCATTCAACTAAATACTGCAAACTTTCTCCATTTCACATTGATTTACTTAAAACACTGCGAGAACCACAGAGCTGTAGAGCTGAATGTAGCAGGCGAGGAGGCTGTTTGGTTTCCCCAAGGAATGGCACATTCAATTATATATTGAGGGTCTGATTTCCTAAAAGGTTAAATTCAGGAAATACTGGGATTTCAGTCATCTTTGTATTTGACCACAGTGTGGAGCTGGATGGATTCCCAGAGCCAACAAATGCACTGACCACCCAACCTCCTAAAATGCCCCATTGAAGGCCAGTGCTTATTATTTATCCAGTGCTCATTCTTTGTGCAGCCTCCAGTTTTCACTGTGGTGAAGCAGACAAACCCCAGCACAGATAAACATTGGGTATTGATTTTGTTATTTCTAGGGGGAGCTCGAGCTCAGTCCTCCCCTTGCTTCATGATCACTGCACCACTCAATAGAATAGAAAGCATAATTTCCACACTAGTGATTACATAACAGGAAATGCTGATATAATTCTTATCATAATGGCACTGCTCAGTGCTCACATGGGAGGACATCTCACAAACACCTTTCACAAATTCTGGTTTTGGTACTACACAGATTATTTCACTTAAGTGAGGAGAAGAGTTTTAGGCATGTTCTAACACAATAAATTTTGACCGTAATGGCTGAATGAACCAAATGGTTTGGACACACAAGTTCATAATTATCCCATCGATAATTCTACATATAAATATACATCTCCATGTGGAACATGGATTTGTTGGGAATGAGGGTCCATTCATACATTTCCAGAACACTTATTTAAAATCTAAAGCTGAAAAGCCTGAGTTTGAATATTAACGACAATGCCTCAGGTTAAGATGAATATTTATTGCAAACTTCTTCTGAGAAATGGGAACAGTTCAAGCCACGTCATCTAGATGAACTTTTTTATCCCCACAACATGGCAGAAAAATACTAAATATTTTAAGGTCCTTCAGTAGGCAATAAGAGTATTTTTTGCTAAGCAAATATATTTGGAGAGAGAAAAATTCTTGTGTTCAAAAGGGAATATTTCTCGAGAGAAACTTGTTCTTATAACAGTAGAACTTGATAAGGGAAAAAAGGAGGTAGTTATAAAGGGAAAAATAGACAATTGCTCTTAAATCCTGCA